TGAGGCAAGAAGATGCCAGTTTTGGTCTGAACTGAACAGCCAGCTCAGGGCAGTCTTTGGACTGGACTCGAAGTGTTACAAGACAGAAAAACATGTGCAGCTGCATAGGGAAACTTCCCTCTGCTTCACAGGCTTTAACGTGGACAATCTCACTGCAGCACATGGGGATTTATGGAAACTAAATATGAAGCCCAAATTCCACTCACTGTCGTATTGTCTCATGTCCCCATGGAACAAAGATTTTATGCTTTACTTCCCTTCTTTCTCCCTGCAGGAATCCAGGCAGCTGATCTAACAAGAAGATTCACCTGAGAAAGGTACAAAACAGCCCGGGGAAAAGCCTTCATTTTACCAGCAGCCTCATTCACAGAGATCATGACACAGCACATAAGGGGAGCATTGTTTCTGGAATAAAATCTGCGTTTGAGCTCTCTTCTTTGGCCATGATCAATGGGAGGGAATTAAAGCCTCATCCTGGGAAAAAAATTAGCTTGCTAAAACTGTGTTGAAAGATCAGGTAATGGAGATGCAGAGCAAGCATGGGCACCCACATCATCTCTTGGTGAGCTTAAGAATGCTGGAGGTAAAAGCCCCTGCTGAAAAAAGCTCCCCAAACACAGGGACAGACATATTGTATCCCACGAGAGACAACCAATTTAAGGGCTATGATTTATAACAGGAGATGTCAGTGTTTCACAGTATTTCAATCCAGACTTCAGCTCCTCACAGCTCCTTCCAGTGCAGGGGCATTTATATTCCCTGGGTGCTTCCATGTTTGCCTGTTTAGCCTCTGCATTTTCTGTTCCATGGATGCACAGAACCAACCCCAATAACTCTGAGCTGTTCTTGCACCTCTATCTTACCTAGCCCTGGGGTATTCTCAGAGCACGTACCTTCAACCCATCCTCCAGACACCTTCCCATCTCCAGCAGGCATGCCAGCAGAAACCCACTGCTCTCACCACTCAGTGACAATGGGCAAGGTTCCACCACCTACCAAGAGGTAGGTTTCATCCCTCCAAAGCTCATCAGACTAAACACCCCACAGAGAACCAACACTATTTCCATTATGCACATAGCAAGACAATGCCCACCTTCCTTCCCTCTTTGTTTCAGTCTGATGTTTTGGAATGCCAACATGAAATTGACTGTGTAAACTAGTAATTACAGGTTAAAAAAAGCTATGTCTGCTGGTTGGGCAACTAAGTTCAGAGATTCATTTAGTCTCTTTGGGCAAACACACATCACACTTGCCTTTGTCCTTCCCCACGCCCACATCTCGCGTTGATTTTCCCAGTAAAAGCCAACAGGAGATGAAAAGGTACTTGCTGCCCTCTTCCGAGCAAACCCAAATTACATGTCAATATGGGTAACGGCTCCCGAGACCCATGAGCTCTGATGAGCAATGAGCTCTGTTTTCATGCAATATGAATGACACTGATATGGCATCAAAGCACTGAGACAGGGGAGGTTAGAAGTGATTATCAGCTCTTACAGAGGAGGACCGTAGATCAATGCTACAGCCTAAACCATTAGGTATCCATAGAGGGCATTCTTTACAGTTTGGTTTCATAACTGTCAGGTTAATCCTCCCCTGTGAAAACATAAAGCAACACTCCCAGCATATTCTGTTCTCAATAGTCACAAACACTTCAGAGCAGAAAAAGATCATGGAACACATAAAGAAATAGGAAAAAAGTTACTTGTAGATTTAAGAGGGTGATTTTATTTATTTTTTTTTAATAAAACCATTTAAATCTTTTATGTCCTCCAGCAGTGCTCTAACCTGTCCTTCCAGGGAACATATGGAACATATACCTTTATCCAGACATACAGTATCTTCAGAACAAACTGCACATACTATCTTCAGAATAAACCTTAACACTGTAACCTGCTGCTTTCAAGACATTTCAAGACATATATCCAAGATAACTAATCATTTGTGGAAACCTGTTAAGTTATGCTGTGTGCTCTCCATTTAAAGCCCTCTGAAATCAGGCTTAGGAACCTGAGGAAGCCCCAGTTTTCATATGCAAATATATATATTTAAAAAAAAAGTAAATCCCATTTATAAATATTTGTCACATAGTTCTTCTCCCATGCACCCTAGGACAGACAAGATGTCCCATGATGTGGCATTAGCACTGCTTTCCTTAGCACTCTCTGGAGTGTCCTGTATACTTCAATCCTGAACTGTATACTTCAATCCTGAAGGGAAATTAGGGGTTTGAAGGAGGCCAGGTAGCCTCACATAAATCACCATGAAAAATGTCTTTTTCAATTTGTAAGCAATGCAACAAATCCCAAATCAGGCTGCCACCAGTACATCCATTTAACATTCCCGCCTGAGCACATGCACAGCATACAGCTGTGACTGTGTGTGACAGGGATATGCCATGCTTCTCCAGGACTTTCCTCCATATGATCTCTAAGCAGTGCTTAATCTCCACCTGTTGCATAGAATGAGCCTGTCTCAGTGACCAAGCCCTACAGTGGATAAGTTATTCTGTATGTGTAAAAACGTGATCTTTTCGTCCTACCTATGAGGGGTCTGAAACTATGAAAGTCTGTTTAAAACAACAGGAGCAGGTTCCCAGGTGTCAATAATACATAATCTAAACAAGCACCTGCAGCAAACCTGAAGCAAAACATAACCACTATCGCCATAAGGTATTGAGACTGAAAAACTGGTTCTCTGTGGGATTCTAGGTTAAAATTCTCAAAGCTTCAAAACCAGCTTGCTTTGCTTTCAAGACTTCTTTTACTGTGCAAAGCATGCAAGCATCACCGCATGGTGAAAAAGTGGGTATTTAAAAGAAGGAAGAATCAGCGTGCCTTCCCCAGTGTCATCTACCAACCATTTCATCCTTCACTTAAAAAGTGCTGACCTGCTTTTCAGACACCTCAGGTTTGGAGCTCTGCATCAGTGGAGGCTGCAAACACACACTGGTTTGGTTTCCAGTGTCTTCCAGAGACAAGAGCTGTTTGGAAGCACCGTGAATCTTTGGCAATGTAGCAGCCTGCCTGGCAGGCCTGGCAGCCCAATTCTGCATGCCCAGGTGTTGGATTGGCCTTGATACTATTAAGTTATTTGTAAAGCATCTTAATGGTTGGCATTTATCTTTGCCATATTTCACTGCTGCGTCCCTTTTGAAGAAACTGTGAAGCCTTGGACAGTCCCTCCCTTCAGAAAGGAAGCCAGTTCTGCCTTCAGCAGTACAGCAGATCCTCCACAGGCCAGGGGAGCAAGAAAGCATCTGTGACGCACAGCTTTCCAAGCCAGGAGAAGCCAAGACATGCAGGCTCTAGATTTATGGATTAGACATGCTGCCATGGCATACAAATCACTCTGCACTCAGTGCAATTCATTATCACATTGCTATGGCTGGTCACATTCTTCACAGGTGCAAATGATGCCAAAAAGGCTTTTTAGCTTTCATGTGCCAAGACTTAATGATGCAGAGTCAGGACCCCTCCTGCCTCCCCAGGGAGATGAAACCACGGTCAGCAGTTGTTCTGCTGTGGGCACACCAAGTACTGAAGGTTTTCCAGCACCCCACGGCAGTGGTGACAGGCAGGCAGCTCACCAGTCACAGGGCTGGGACTGTGCCCAGTCCAGCCTCTCCTAGTACCTGAGCCTGTGCCTGCAGCACTGTCAGTACCTGCCCATGCGCACCAGCAACATCCTCCAGCCCAGGCAAATTCAGCTAAAAACCTGCAGAAAACTCAGGGATTCATTCTGCCACACCAGCACATCTTGGGAAACCAAACAGCCTTTTACATTATTTGCATGTAACAGTAAAGGAAAGGGACTTACCAACAGGCATAAACCAGCTAAAATAGCAGCATAATTGATGTAATGAAACTAGAAAGAAGGTGTGAAGGGGAGACAGCACTACCTCCTTACACATATGCATCTGGATTCTGGGAAAAGGATACTGGGTAAAAAACAAGCCAGAAAACAGGATTTCTACTTCTGGGGAAAAGCTGTTCCTTGGAGGGGCAGGGGGGGAATATCAATACAACAGCAGTAATACCACAGTACCTGAAAGTCAAGAGATTTGAATGTCAGGTGCCTCATGGAGCATCACTTTGGGCATCTCCACAGAGCAGGCTCCTCAGTGGAGCTGTGTCCCCCTTTAGAGGCCACGGTTACTGCTGATATCGCAGAGGACACTGCAGCACCAAACAAGAGGTGCACTGACCACAACATCGAGCAAGATTCCATCTACAGGAGAACAAACCAACCAACCAAATAAATCTGAGCTGGAACTCCATTTCCTTGGTTGCTACATTGCAACACCCAATCAGGCAAACACCACAGTGAACCAGTGCTGGAGGGACATAGGGCAGAAAGAGAGAACAGAGGAAAGTGCCCACCGAGCAGAGCCATGTATCACTCACCTCAGCCAGGCTGGCCCAGGCGGACACAACATGGCGAACGGTCCTCACAGCCTTCGACGCCAGCCCGCCCTCGGCAGGGTGAGGCGGCCTCATGTTGCACACAGGACTCCACCTTCGCACCTCAGCATCCATCGCACAGCACCAGAGCACAGACCCCTCCTTATGCTCTCCGGTCAGCAGGGGCTCCCCTCAGCAGCAGGTGAGGGCGGTCAGCGCCGATCGAGACCACCAGGTGGCGGTTAACGACCGTTAACGGCCGCCGGCGACCGTTACTCTGAGGGCTCAGGGCCGTGCCCCACCCACGGGTTTGCACCAGGTGTCACCCCCCTTTACAGGCCCACCAGTAGCACACAGTAAGCAGCAGCACACAGTAAGCAGCAGCTCAGGAGCCACAGCAGAAACCCCGCAGGACCTGCCCGCTGTGAAAGGCAGAAGCTGTCACGGTTAACCCTGTGGTGCGCCTCTGGCAACACCTCCACCTGCCTTCGGTTCGTGCTCTGCTCTGCTCAGCACGGATGGGTGTACGGGAGCCTAAGAAAATGCCCGGGGTGCAACAGAGTGCAACATTCCCAGTGTAGGATGCAAAAAAATAAGCCATTTACATCAACAAGCATCATTATTTTATTTCAATCTTGCTTCATTCCAGAAACAGAGGGACAACATAACCGGCAGTAGGCACGTCAGTGGGCTGTGCAGTTTGAGTCTCTAAACAAGACCAGATCTCCTGTGCCAGGTGCCATATAAACACACTTGGAGGCAGCCTCCGGGTTCAACACCACTTGGCTCCAGGTGAATGTCTCACAAACACTCAGGTCCCCAGTCTGACACAGCGTATGTTGGAATTGGTATAGAAACTATACATACATTAAAAGGAATGAAGATAGGGGGAAAAGGGTAGGCTTCTAAACAATTCCCCCCTCCTCCAGAAGAGCATTGGGAAAGATGTATTAAGCAAGAAGAAGCATCCTTTCCCTTTTACTGATGGGAAACTGAGGCAGAAGACTCAGTCACTTTGTCAAAGTTTACTAAAGGCAATGTGGTAGCACCAAGGAAACCGTATTTCTCCATTGTCCTAGTCCAGTACCTCAACTGTTCACTGTCCACCTCTATTCTCACCTGATCAAGTGCAACCGGAATCATTGTGAAAATATTGCTGAAATACGCTAGCACAGGAAGGATCAAGCACTACAGGCCCTACAGTTATGAGCAGTTTGTGTCAGTTCTGGTTGCTGTCATCAATGATTTCCTTAAGTCTATCAAACCAGAACCACCCCGAGCTCATCAAAGCAGTAAAGATCATGCTAAAGAATTTAAAGCAGTAAAAAAACCACAAGATCAGGTCTTTGGAAATACATCAAGTGTCTGATCAGTTCCAGTCCTGTTCTGGACTGCAGTCAGGGTCAGATGCTGCACCGAATTGCTCCCTCTGGACATCACAAACCACATGACCTTAGCACAGCATCACCCAAGGGGGAGGAGGGTCTTCATTCTTGTGATGTTATTCACCATTGTAAGGGCTTCTTGAAGATGCCCATGTGTCTACATGCTGGTGTAGATCTTGGGTGGTGCTCTGAGCTTCAGCAGTCATTCTCCGAAATTTCTGAAGGTAGACAATGATGAAGATAATAAAGATACCCTGGAGGAAAAGGAGGATGAAAAGACAGAGCTGAGAGAGGAGAGCCAGGATGCAGTACCAGTACTGGCACGTGGCAATGATCTCGTCTTCTGTCAGATAGGCAATGATTCGGCCCTGCAGGTGAGCTGGGGAGCTGCATCTCACATCCCTGTATAAGGTCCGGTTGTGCTGCCACTGGAGCCAGGAGCGCAAGTAGAGGATGTCACAGTTACATTCCCAAGGGTTGCCCTGCAGGTAGACAACCTGAAGGCTCTTTAGGTTGTCAAAGAGCCCATTGGGAATAGAGGTGAGCTTGTTGTAACCAAGGTGGATAATTTCAGCTGAAGGGCGGAAAGCAATCGGTAGTTTTGCTACAGTTAGGCCTTTTGAAGTGCAGTCAATAATGGTGGTGGTACACTTGCATGGCACAGGGCATGTAGGTATCACAAGTGGGAGGAACCCAAGGAAAGGCAACAGGAGAATTCCACTGTTCATCTTCACCTGGAAACACTCCCCTGGTGAGACGGGATGAGGTGGAGACCAGGCAAGTAGACACCACACACTCTAGGATGACAGCAGGTCTTTTGTTGGTTTGTTCTGAGAATGAGTTTCTAAAGTTGGATCAATTTGGTGTCCTTCACAGGTGATGCGAGAGCTCTGAAAAGAACAGAGTTAAAAGAGACATGCAAATTCTTGGTCTCTTATTACAGAAGAAATGTTCCTGGTCTTCTAACCCTGGATTTGAGGAGGGATATGAACAGATGGCTACTGGGAGGCATAGCTGCAGCCATCAAATTTATTTTAACTAGTCCTCACAAGTGTACAAGAGCTGCTTATATTTTCAGCATTACTGGAGGCGCAGAAAATTTATGTGAAGGAATCAAAAATTAGAATATGAAACTGCCCATGCCTTATCACAGCTCTGAATCACAACTGTAAGCAAAGCTTTGTTCATGCAAACTACAAGAGGAGATTCAGAAATAAATGTACTGTTACCACGAGTAAAAAATAGTCTTTCCAGTTTTTAAAAGAAGTGATAAACAGTCCTTGGCCAGCAGAGAGGCTACCAAGGGTGGAGGTCAGTGGAGTTTTCCATGCCAGATATTGCTCCACCAGGTGAATAATCTCCTACTGGAGCTGTGGGCATACCATACTGGGAGACACAGGTCAATGAGCTGTCTGTGTTGCAGTCTTACACCACTGACCACATGAGCTGCAATAACTTCTTTAGCAGAAGAACTACAGATACCTACAAGGCAGTGCTTTTCTGTGCAAATAAAAATAAAACATAAAATAAAATGAACAATTAAAGTTACCAGAGGTAACTCTGTTGACTTACCAAAGTAGTTCAATCCTTGCTTTCTTGCTGGCTTTACAAGACAAGAGGAAGGTCCTAAGGCAGTCCAGCCAGCACAAGAGTGTTTGCAGCTGCATAGCTGAGCTCCCGGATAATCCCCTTGCAGCTGGCTGGCAAGATAAGGGTCAGGCTCATCCCAGGGACACCTCCCACATGAGGCCTTCCTGCAAGTTTGCTGCATGTCACCGGAAGTTGAGGCTTCATTGAGCAAGTATTCCAAGAAATGGGAACTGACACTGCTCACAAGAACATGTTTGCCAGGAGAGATGCTGACAGTACTGATAACTGTGATTCTGGGCCCACAGGCTGGGTCTGACAGAAACATCACAAAGGCTCAATTGCAAAGTAGTAACTCACAATGCATTTCAACCTGGAAGGTGACATTACTGATCTGTACCACACTTCCTGAGTACTGCAGCCTTTGGTTTCTCCATCTCATCAGGAAGACTATATTTGGCAGAGTGGGGAGACCTAGCATTTTGCAGTGTGCTGACCCTGAGGTTTCCCTTGAAGCAGTGACACAAATCTACCCCTAATTAGCAGGGGAAGAAAATGGACTTCCAGTGACCACAGTAGTGTCCATAGTTGAGCCAAGGAGTAAGACCAGCCAGGCACCTGCACCCTCTCATGATAGTTACAGCCATTTCACTGTCTATATCAAAACAAACCTGTTAGATTCACAGGAAGGATAACAGACCGGGAAAAATAGTGCTCTGAGGACTGCTCTTTAGGTAACCAAGGGAGTCAACACCTCTTAACAAGTGCAGCTTGAAGTTACTGATAAAAGACTGACTACATCCTTTATTCAGAAGTTACATTATACAAATACACTTGAACAGCTACTGCCAAGTGTCAAAATTAACTTTAGGTAGAATCTTGTCAAGGCCATCACACCTTCACAGATATTTTTCTGCATTCAAAGCACTGTCTATGCTCCTTAGGATAAGGCCACCAGAATTACATTGTGAAACTATTGCTGTATTGGGCACAACTCTCCATTACCTTGGACTGTGCACATCATACAGAGCAGAAACGATGAACACCCTGAATGTGCTGATGTTAAAAGAATTTAGGATGTAAACAGCAGCAGAATTTGGCACTAACCAAGGGAAAATCTCCAATGCCCTGAACAAAACAAACCTTAAATTTCTAGAAAGTTGGAGCAGATCACTCCAGTTGTTTCACTGATAGGCAGAGCAGGAAAGAGGTTAACAAATGAACCCAGCTTGTCCTGCAGGGCCTGGTTTCCACTTGGGAACAGCTTGACTACTTCCTACTACTAAGCTACTACTACTAAGTTTGCTCAGCAAACTTACCTTGTCTCATGCATTTGGTGCTGCATTTACTCACGATCAACTGAATGGCAGAGAGCTGATCAGGAGCCAGATCCACTGTGGCTCTGCATGCAGCACAGACTTAGCAGTGCTCCTCTGGCTCCTTAAAACTGGATTTCCCAGGACTGGATCCTGCTCAGCTTCCCATTGCTGACTTGGACACTGCTCCTAGGGGAAGCTTAAAGATAGAAGATCTTCAAGTTTATCTCGTCTAGCTTCTGACATCAACAGGCTAGGAATCGCATCAAGAAGCCATGCCTGAAGCCTTCTCTGACAGAATCAGACAAAAGGAGAAACAGTGTCAGTTTTGCTCTCTCCTACCCATAATGTATCACCAATACTGCTCAAGGGAACTGAAAATTAAACAGAAAGAGGTTGTTGGTTTTGAATGTATTTATTTCACTGATCAATTCAGGTAGTAAACATTAATAATAATAATAATCATTTAATAAAATGGATATGGTTTAAAAGGTTTTGTTTTTCTTTTTTCACAATGACAAAATGTTCAAACAGAAATTTACAAAAAAATATATATTATAATAACCCAACAGATGGACAGGAAACAAACAGCCTAGGAATGGAGCAAGGGGTGGGGAAAATGCGTGGCAGGAGCAAGCCAGAGTTAAAGCACAGCAAGAGTTTGTGAGGAGGAGCAGGGAATACCATTGCAAAGCAGGAAGAGTGGGACCCCCTCCTTCTCTGGGGGGAGGCATGCGGGAAGGCAGCAAAGACTGCACAGGCAGGACACAGGCAGCGGCGCACAAGGAGTTCATGCCATGGCTCCATTCCCAGCCAGGCACAAGGTCTGAGATGTTGTACCGACAGCCTCAGCTGCAGCCTGGGATAGGTCTGTAGAGCAGGACACCAGCCCTGCAGGGACTCACTCAGCAGGGCAAAGCTTGGCAGAGACATGGGAATGTGCCTGGAGGTACAAGGGTCGCATATGAGGCTGTGGAGGGTTGTGTGAGGGGAGGTGTTAAATATCTTTCCTATCCACACTTCTCACTGCCAGAGCCAAATGGCCAAGCTACATTTGTTCAGGAGTCTCTTCTCCACTTACTGTGCAGCTCAATGCTGTAGTACAAAACACTCCTTTACTAAAGAGATGCCACATTTTAGGCCAGAGTTGGAGGCCCTGGTACCCCCAAAGTCAGTCTCTAATCCTGTTCCAGGCAGCCCCCAAAGTGGTGCTCTGTGCAGGGAACCTCCTGCACGGAGACATGATTTCACTGCCTCTCTGCAGAAGCCATCTCTAGTGCCTCACTCCTGGGCATTCTGTGGACAAGTTGAACAACCTTTATCAGCTGGTAGCCAAAGGCTTCAGCTCGCTGTAGGGGACTGACTTGTGTCTACTGACTTGACGTAGGAGCCATGTGCACTGAGCTGATGGAGACTTCCTCACCCGGAGGGACAGACCCTCAGCAATCCTGCCTGCCTATGACCAGTGTACCCAGTGCTCTCACCAGCATACAGCACTTCTGCACACAGCCCAGCATAAAAGCTGTCAGCTCCTCTACTCCAGAAGGTAAAGGTCTCCTTTGTTTTCTAGGAACAAATCTGTTTGAAAGAGGAACTTGGAGGCAGCTCCTCTTTCAGGCTACTCCCCTGCTCAAGTAAGAACATTGCATAAAGAAAGGGTGTATTTCCTCCTTAAGCACCTTGGTCCTGCATGTTACTGACGACAAGCTGAACCCTTCCCCTCTCCTAGGCTGGCACTGCCACTGTTGCTTATGAGCCAAGTATAGGGGAAAATGAAAGAAAAAACAATAATTGTTGGACACTGCTCTTGCCCAGCTTGTACATTTCTGCTAAGGGGCTTCCACCCTTGCTTTGTCCTTCCACCCTGTGCCAGGGCCTCTGCCCTGCTGCTACAGCCCATGTTCAGGCTAAGCAGGGGCTCTGTACAGTGAATAACTGGAACCAGCCAAACTACTCACCACCTGGACAAGCCCTGCAATGCCTAATAACGTAACTCAGGGTCTAGCCATTCCTGGCCAACACTGTGTTTCCTACCCAGGTAGATCTACTGGGGAGTCAGCGGTGGAGGAACAGGTAGAAAAGGGGAAAGGAGACAGAGGAATCAGGCTGGGAGCCAGAGGAGCCGAAGGGCCCAGCCCATGGTAGCTCTCCCTGGAGTTGGAGAGAAGAGCCAAGTGTATTTCTCTCCCTGACTCCCTGCAAGCGCAGCAGTGTGAGACCTGCCCTGTCAGCCCCATCACACTCCAGCGCTCTGCTCTGGCTGGACTAAAGTTAAAAATACTGCAGGAAGCAAGAACAGGACAGAAGCTGCTGGCCAACAAGTGCTCTTATCTCTGCCCAGCAGATCCACCAGCCTTCCCAGCACTGAGACAGGAAGAGCCTCGGATGAGGGAGGGGGAGAAAGGCTGAAACCCAGGGGAAGGGCAGGGGAGCAAGTGCCAAGTCTGCTGGGCTGTGCTCAGCCCCATGCAGTGACACTCCTGCACATGCTGACCCCACACCTGCCTGGGCAGGCAGCTTGCAGATCTCTGGAACAAGTCTACAAAAACTGGTCCTTTTCTCAGCAGCAGCTCCAGGCCAGCAATGCACTTCTAGGACAGCAAAGCCTGCAGCCAGGGTGCTCTGCATTCAGGGATGGATTTCAGCCCTAGGGTTTCTATCCCTTCCGAAGCAGTCCCAACCAAGTGTTGTGGCTGCCACAGTGCTTTTCAGAACAGATACTCCAGACAACTGCAGCTGGATGACCAGAGCTAAACCTCACCCAGCTATCAACTGGAGGACTCTGGGGTTCCCCTCTACTAACACCTCCAGCCTGCCATGAGAGGAAACCATGGCTGGGAAAGTGCTCATTCACATCATCTCCTCCTTGCAGGCAGCAATCAACAACTCATCCTCTCTGCCAGAAAAGACAAAACTGAGAGCAATAGAAAATGTTTTCTTCTAACTGATGTCAAGAGACTCAGTCCCTCACCACTCAGTGCAAAGATCCCAGAGTTTTTTGATAGGAAAACTAAACCCAACCAACTAAACAAAAAACCCAGGCAGGAAACCAGGCAACCATCAGGACCCCTGAGCAGGTCAGTGCACAGAGAAACCCCCAGCCCCAGCTCCCTTGGGCCACAGCTGGCCTCAGGCTGAGGAGCCCAATCAGCACAGGTCAAACTCACAAGAGGGTATGGCTGCCTTTACAATGCTTGTGCTGGCCCCACACAAGGGGAATGGGGAAGGGGGCACAGCACCTCAGTTGGGAGTAAACATTTACGTGCATTGACACAGATAGTCAAGTTCGTACACCAGAGAAACCAGGACTTTAAATACCAGAGCATTCCCAAACAAGAGATTAGTACATGGGAAAGGGACATCTTTTTCTTTTCTTTTTTTCTTATTTAGGATGTCTTAGAGACTTCCCAGGCTATTTTCTTTAAAAATAAAAAATTAAAAAAAAAAAGAAGAAAGAATAATTATTAAAAAAGAAATATGCATCAGTAAACTGTTAAGTGAACAGCCTCCTCCACAATCCAGCTGACCGCAAAGCCAGCACTGCTGCTAATAAATTAGAGGGTGCGGGTGCAGCTCTTGCCCACAAGTCTCTATACAACAGGAAACCTTTTCTAAACGTCCACAGCTCTTGCCAGGCCTCAGATGGTCACTGGGGAATTCCCTCTGCCCTCCGAGTGCCTCTCATTGATCCTGCATCTGCTGCTGCATCTTCTGCAGCATCTCTTGCATCCGCCGTAACTGCATGAGACACAAAAGAGATAGTCAAAAAGGGATCTGCTGTGGCCTGAAGACAGTCATCTGCACTGGGCACAGTCGCTTGGAGCTGAAAAAGGGGTCGCTCAGGTAGTATTAACTCCTGCCTGAGCACAGAGGCATCTGTATCTGGGGTGGAATGGAGCCATGTTTCCCTGACAGAGGAAGCCACAGCTTTCACACCCTGTCCTCCACACCAGGAGCCCATGGTGGTGGGAGGCAGGAGTGGGAAGCTCCAGGACAGCCTCCATGGGGAAATCCTGGAAAAAGTCCTCATATTCCAACTCCAACACCAAGGAGACCAAGGCAGAAATGGCTCTCACCTCCTCATCCTTCATTTTGATCAGCTTCTCTGTCTCAGTGTCTGGTGTAGGGAGAGGCAGGATAGGAATCGGGCTTTCTATCCTGTTGTCCTGAGTCAGCTTGCTAGAGAGATGGAGAGAAGGGAGAAACGCAGTCAGTTATGGTTCAGGCTGGCTGGCTTTGGTATCCCCACATGATGGCTGTCACTCATGATAGCAGCACGCACCCAGCCAAGTGGAGGGGCACAATCTAGCCCAGAGGTGTGGGATGCACTCAGACGCACGAGACCAAAGCCAGTGAAAGTTTTCAAAATGAAGCTTGTGGGTAGCTAACAGGGAAAATCCAAACCAGGCTCACAATGAGAGCAAACACAGAAAGGGCTGATGGTGCTGACCACCTTTTGTAGCTGCACTGGCGAGCTCAGCAGAGACATTTACAGACAATTTAACTGGTCTCCTTTAGCTCATATGTGCAGTGCCTATGCAGCATCGATTCATACTACCAGCATCCCTAAGGCACGACATGCTCACCATGGTACTTTTCTTTCCAGGACAATAAAACCAGAGGAGCAGTTTAATTGCTGTAAGTCTTGATAACAAAGCCTGTCCTCACATTCAGGAGGCGGTAGACATGAGACACAACAGGAATGGCACAGCAGCATTGTGATGAGGGCTGGGTCGCCCATCAGTGCAGGCTGGGAACAGAGGAAGGAGGTGACTTGCTTACAAAAGTCAGAGGACAGAGTGGTAATGACCAAAGATGCCTGCGCTGAAACTGAGAATTCAAAATGCCACTTGCAGGCGTTCACCACTTGGAGTCACCGTTGGCGCATTATTGGGTGAATTCCAGTCCTAGAGCTAGGGATCTCCTCCCACATGTCTCTAGAGGACCCTTAACCCACTGGTAGAAATGGCCACGGTCTGATTTTACGAGACCTGTTCACTGTCAAGGAACTAGCCATGCAGTGAGAAATGGCACCAAACAACCTTTTCTTAAGCTGAGTAACTGCTTTTTCATCATGATCTTCTTTTAATAGATAACAGCCTACCTAAATAGCAGCTGTGACACTTCTCTCAGATCTCTAACATTTAACACAGTTATTTTGGGACTCCCTACTCTCAATGTTGAAAAAGACAGGCTCCTCTGCTATGCAAAAGTACTGAGAATGTGCCAACCCACATGTTTGCACGCATGCAGGACTGCTCCTTGGTGAAGTGCAGCCGTGTCTGCAACGTGGCAGCACAGAGCTACCCAGTCAGTTCAAGCAGGAAGTGAAAGGGATGGTTTGCAACGAATGGGCCAAGACCTACTAAACCTAAAATGTGTCACCAGTGTTGCAGTCATGGAGGGAAGAAGGATAAAGAATTAAGATATTTCAAATTAGAAGCCTGTGAGTGTTCTCTATTTCCTGATCATTGTGGCTGAAACCACAGAGAATCAAATGCAATGGGAAGACAATGCAGAGACATCTTTGGAGATGTGTTAAGAGTCTTGCTAATTGCCTGGACTCTGTTGTCTCAGAAACAACAGTATCCCAAGGGTCATGCTGTGATTTGGATACAACCACACACTGCAGAATGCCTTTCTCTCTGGCAATGCATGCAGCTATCACCCACCAGAGAAACAATTTATCCCCTGTTTCATTAGGCTGGATTTATTTCACCCAGAGCTAGGAACAGCTCTTCAAAATAATCTCCAGGCCTGTTTCTCAAGATCTACATGGGAAATCCTCGGACACGAACATGGACTCTCAGAAGCATCCCCACCATGGGTTCAGGCTGTGACAAACATGCTTGGATTTGCTATTTTAGCCCCTAGTGCCAATCCCCAGACTGCAGCCCGGCATGTCCCCAGCAGACACAGAGCCTCCTGATGAGCAAGCACTTGTGAGAGCAACCCCAGCTCTGGAGTGAGACACCCCTGCCACCTCTGGATGAAGCCATGGGGACTCACCTGGTCATTTGCTGGATGCACTGAGCTCGGTAGTTCTCATAGTGGACATCGCAAGTGACGTCCTTCAGGTCATGCATGTGTGTCCGGATCAGCATGTTCCGCAGCTTCACAAAGTCGCAGTGTGCCTGGTTTTCCACTGCGGAAGCAACAATGGGAGAGTGCTTGGGTGTCACACCTCAGCAGCCCTTTCCAGGGAGACTCTTCCCACTTCCCAGCACCCAGGCTGGACTAAAACTCCCCATAAGGCTTGTTCCTTATCCTCCACCACTGCCTGGGGCTCTCCCCTGGCCCTGCCTCCAGCCTTGATGATGCTCTGAGCTTCTCAATGCTGAGGCCAGGCTGCTCAAGTCGCTGTGTTCCCAGGACTTTTTCTGGGCAAGAGTATTAATCAAGCATGCACAGAAGAGCCCTGAAGGAGGATGCTGCTCCCAGGTACATGGGATGTCACTGTTATAACCACAATGAGCACAGCCAGTGCTGGTGGCAAACTGCTCATCTCCTCAGACTTTTGGACTGACTGAAAGGCCCCTGTAGGCTCCAGGCAGCACTGCAGGACTCCACAGGGCAGTGCTGTGCTCAGTAGCTGCGTGCCTGCTGTGGTGATCTCCATTTAGCTCTCTGCAGGGCTAGGGGAAGCCGCTGTGTCAGGCCCAGGTTCTCACAAAGTTGATCCCCCTGCCAAATGCCAGCACTGCTACAGGCACAGCCCCCTCTGGAGCCAGTGAGAGAGCAGAGCCAGCAGCTGGGCAGCCCAAGCGGTGGGCACCAGCCCACGAGGGCACACACAAGCTTTTGGGATCTAAAGCTGCAAGAGCTTAACACAATGCACCAGCATGGGGGAGTCAGCAACAGCAGCAAAAGCCATTCCAGGGTTATTCTGCCTATAAGCCTTATGAAATCTCTTTAGAGAGGAAGAAAGTTAGAGACAAACACACTGCACAAGCACAGCCTCCAGCCCAGCAACTCCGGCACATACAGGACCAGCAGCAAAGGACGGACTGCAGGAAGGTTTCTGATTCAGTTTGACTGAGGGCAGTGGCTTCTCCCCAGAAACTACACTGGCAATGCCCAGTCACCCCCCTTGATAAGAAGCCCTATCCTACTGCATTAAAGCCCAGGCATTCTCCCATTCACACTGGAGCCTCTCTTCTTCAGTCTGTCATGGCTTCGGAGGCAGGGCAACTGCTGCACCCCCAGTAACAGACCTCCTGAGCCAGTCCCAGTGCCTCTGTCACTACCATGCCTTGTCCCCTGCCATGTGCCAAAGGTGTCACAGCCAGTCACGGCTGGGTAGAGATAAGCTCTCCCCTGCCATCCATTACAAGTGCCTGCCTGTCCTTCCACCGCCCCTGCCTGCCCCTCTCCCAGGCACCACATGCTTACCTTCCACAATGCCCCAAGGGTACAGCCGTCCACGGACCCGCTGGCCTTTCGCCTCCACCACAGTGTTACTGCCGATGACGGCAAAGGGAGCGCTCTCCTGGAATGAGAGGCACTGCTGAGCCCAGCTCAGCCCAGGCCTGCCTGCACATCCCTCCTCCAAGGATTTAAACTCAGGAGTAAGGAGGCAGGTGCTGGAAAGGCCTACCCCTACAGGGACATCCACACATGCCACAGTACAGGACACCACAACCCACTTGCAGAGAAAAGCCTATGCCATTGAGATCTCCGAGCCTGACCTCTTCTCAGCTATCCTGAGGGAAGCTGTGTCTCTGCTGGTGCCTGCATCCCTTCTTTCCTCTACAAGGAAGCCAGAGTAGAGAGGCTGGGACACCAAACAAATATGACAATGTAGGCCGAGAGCTTGTCCAGGCAGGGAGGTACAGGCTTGCTCCTCTCTGCTCAGGAGAAAGCCAAAGCCCGTTGCACCTCTGACAGGAGAAACAAGGCCATAATGCATGCACACACAGGGCTGGCTCAGCCTGGGAGAGGCTCAGGCCTGGGCTGCTGGGTCCTCCAGACAGGTCTGTATGATCACATTGTCTCCCCCCATGTAACTAATGTGTCACAGTGGTGCCTCATCACTCACAAATCACTCCTCCTTTCTCAAGGAATCACTCAGGAATAGGTGTTTGCAAATACTGTACAACACAGCCTTCATCTTAAATATAGACTGAGGTAAACTAAGGAAAGACTGACGCTGGCTGGTGGGAGAGCAGAACTGCCAGGTCTTCATGCCACTCTTGACTTCACAGCAAGGACATCAGCACCTTCTTCAGACTATCTACCATGTGAGCCAACGTAGGCTGTCCCTTGGGTATCGGTAGCACAAGGCTTTGGCACACATGAGGCAGCTCTGGCTCCTTCTGGAGCAACCTACATACCCATGAGCCTGACTTCCCAGACCCTGCTGAGCAGGTTCCTTACCTTCAGCTCTCTGTCTTGCTGTTTGAACTCCTCATCTTCATCAGAGTCACACTCAGGAAACTGGTACACTTTAATGCCAAATTTGTCAATCTCTTCCCGGATCTGTGTCCGTGCAAGACAAAACCAAAAGGACACAACACTGAGCAATACAGAAATGCTGAGTTTATTCCCTGTTTGTGCTACCATGGTTTTCCTGTAGCCTACAGATGGTGACAGGATTTGATGTTTATACAGAGCTGGTCTTTCTGAAGACACCAGTTCCCTTCTCACAGCAGAGCACTGCTACAGATTTACAGGTATTGTGTGTGTAAATACATATGCGCACACACACTATACATATATATGTGTACATATACATATATACATACATATATATATATATATATATATATATATATATGTCCCCTCCCTCCTCAGCCCATCCCTACCACCACATTAGGTAGAGAAAGAGCATCTCACCCTCTCTTTTAGCTTCCGGATCTCGGAGGGGATCAGGCAGTCAGCTTTGGCAATCAGGGGCACAATGTTGACCTTCTCATGCAGAGCCTTCATGAACTCAACATCCACAGGCCTCAATCTGCAGCAGAGATGAGGAGGCCACTATTAGCAAGGACACACTAAGCAGCTTCCCCTCCAGCCTCTCCCACCCATCCAGCATGAAGGGAAAAGGACAGCACTGCCACAAGAGCCTGCAGCAGCACAGGAACAGCCCTCAGCTAGAACTGTATCCTCAGGAGAGCTGTCTCAGATTTTAGCCACTGAATGTCTCACACAGACACAGGCTAGGTATTTGCTCTGTTCCAAGCTAAATACTGCTCAGGCCACAGCCTAGAGCCTCCTTCCTGCTGCCCTGTGCTGCAGGGAGCCAACATGGCCCCCCCCTCCAGCCGCTCCAGGCTGGCACACGAGCCAGCAAGGGGAAGGGACTGAAGGCAGCTTAAAATTCCCTTTCCCACCCATCAGTCAGGCTTAGCTAGATAGGAAGGTACATCTGTGTGCCGTTATTTCTAAAACAGGCTGTAAGGCCTGGGGGAGATCTGCTCTGCCTGATCACAGGCAGTCTGTCATGCCAGCAACAGGGAGGGAGGTGGTGTGATGCTCAGCTAAGGGAGAGCATGCAGACAACTGCTCTGTACCAACAGCCCTACCAATATACAAGCTGCTATAGAGCAATCCTAGGGCACAAGGGTCTTCCCCCTGGGCTCAGTTACACCCTGGCCCTGAAGTGGGTGCTCTCACCCGTGCCCAAAGGGCGAGATGAAGTAAAGGCAGCAATGCACTCGGTTGTCCTGGATGTTCTTGCGGTTCAGGCCACTCTCATCACGGAAATACTGCTCAAACTGCTGGTCAATGTAGTCGGTGATGGGCTTCCAGCTGGGATGGGCAATTCAATCAAAACAAAATCATGTGTTTAACAGGACAGTGTCTCCTAGGAGCTATAAGACAGCATCATCCCCTTTCTGCTGCCAGACCCCCCTTCCTGTGAAGCACCCACAGAAAACAGACATGACCAAGGACTAGGAGGAAGGCAGCGATGGCCTGCTCACCACTCAGTGTTGTTAACAGCATCTCCAAAGCCTGGTGTGTCCACTATGGTCAGCTTCAGCTTGACACCCTTCTCCTCAATGTCCACTGTGTGCTTGACGATCTCCACCGTCTGGCTGATTCTCTCTTTGAACAGGAATATGCGAGTTAAAGCCAGGCAGTAATGCTGGGGATCCCCACTCACACAACAATCCAGCTCCTTCCTTATCACTGAGCACACAGTAACATGGGTTTCACCCTGATCATCCTTCTAAGGAGCCTCAAGGGACTGGCACTATGGGAAGCCAGCAGCAGGCAGACAGACTGTGAAGATACACACAGCTCTGAAGTGCTTGTAGCCCAGCTGTTCTGAACACCTTGTCCAGTCACTTGGGAAGGGGAATCCCTACCACACTCCAGCACCCAAGAAAAGAAGACAAATCTCAACACCTCAACCCAAAAGGCTAACGCTGCTCTGCAGCCTCATCTTCCCTGTACAGGACAGAAGGGCCCTACAGCCAAACCCCTTTTACTCAAATACTAGTGCCCCTGTAGCCACTAAAGGAGAGCAGGGCAGCAACAAACAACAGGGCTGAAATCCAGCCAAGCCTGTAGCTGCTACAGGAACCAAAGTACTAATCCTTAAGACAGTCCAGATCTCTAGGCACAGGAACATTCACCCCATTTGTCCCCAACCTACCTTCAGCATTGAGGAGCTTTCTGTCTTTGTAGAGGTCTGTCAGGAACAGGCTATTCACCAGCGTGGATTTGCCCAGACCCGACTCTCCTAATTGACAGAGTGCAAAGGGAAGGAGGGAGAAGCAAGCGACATGACCCACTAATTGACTTACAAATCAAACTCTGAGCAAGGCTTTGAATCCTGAGCCAGAGGAAGTGAGAGATGAGCTGTCACAAGCTGTTTATCAGCATTAAATTTTTCAAGCAGTGGGAGGACTTTTGCTGCAAGATGTCTCAATCCTTGTACAAACGTCATCTCCCAGATCCTCCATCCTCTCCCCCCACCCCTTCCTCTCCCTTGGACCCTGGCTGACTCTGCCTTCGCCACCCAGATCAGCCACTCTATTGGAGAAGCTTGCTTGAGTGGGTCAGGACGGGGCCATCCCTCCTGGGGGAACTGCAACAAAGGCTGGGGAGCAAAGCAAGGTCTGAGACAAGGACCAGAACAGAAACAGGGGAGGATCCAGGTGCTAGGGGAGTACCTAAGGGAAGTGAGGAGAGCTGGTCATCTCCATGCATCCACCACGTGGCTCAGCCATGTCCACGCGCAATCTTACCTGCAACCATCAGGGTGAAGTCGAAACCTTTCTTCACAGATTTCCGGTGGACCTGGTTTGGCAGGGTGGCAAAGCCCACATACTGCTTCTCATGGTCCTGCAGGGCAGAGGTGGATGGGAGTAGGTCAGGGTGTGCCACTCCTCCTGCTCGAGCCTCACACAGCAACAGGGAGCTGGACTCAGAGCCAAGGGCTGGAGGAGAGGTTGGTCCCTGCCCTGGCAGCGGTGCAGGGCAGGGCACACACCTCCCCTATGCTCAGGGACTTCTGCCTTTCCTACACATAGACATGGAGGGCCATCTCCTCCCAGCCACAGTCCTGCTTGGCTGCTCTCACCTCCAACACAGCAGTTCACAGCAGCCTCCCAGCACACAGAGCACAAGAGAAAAGGCACATCCCACCATTCCAACCAGAGAACACATCTGGGGCTGCTACTGACATCCAGCCCTCCTAACTCTCTGCTCCTCCTGCACAGTCACAGGCTCCCTTCACAGCAGGGTCACCAAGGGTCACTTATCCCCAGGTCTTTCAGAGTCAATTTTGTATCCCTCCCTCCAGAGGTGCGTGCAGTACATGATGGAGAGCTCTCTGTAATTAGCACTCCAGGGCTTGTGGTGTCCTGAGCCGTGTCTGGAGCCACGGTGGCTTGGCTTCAGCTTGACCTGAAAGGGGATTATTTCTTGCTGTGTCACAGCCACTCCTGGCTGAGTAAGAGGAAATCCTGAATAATCTTTAGTGTTATTTCTGAAGAGAAGGAGCAGAGGAAGTGGGAAGATGAAGTACTGATAACACAGGTGAGATCCTTTTGTTGAGGGTATTACATACAGTATTACTGGAACATTACCTGCTGCCTAATCACTCCCCAAAACACAGCCACCTGTCACTGAGCACTGTGACACCATAACAGCCATAGCCACCCCACAAGAGTGGCACACACTGTGTACAAGCACGCTGAGTGCACACAAGGAGTGACATGACCAAAGGTGTGTTTCACAAGCACATGGCATGCATCCCACAGCCAGGAGCACACACAGCCTGGGCTGTGCCCTAGGGTACGCATGTCCTAGGCTCATGCAGGGTACATCCTGAAAGGTGAACACACCTCATCTGTGGATTCACAGATCTGCTCCAGGTACTGCCCTCGGCGTTGGCTCAGCACACAGCTCAGGTGGATGTGGATAACCATGGACCCATCCATCCACCTGAGCACCCCTGGTCCTGGTCTTTCACAGCCCGCACCCCCACTGCAGTGCATTCCCTCCGCAGGCCCTGTTGCAGAGGGAGGTGCACACCTACCCTGGCAAACACTTCCCTTCTCATATACTTTCCAAACTAGGCCCAAGGGGAAGCAGCCGTTCACAAATGCCTGAGCTTTGGACATCACAGACCGCTTTCCAGCACCACTGACAATAAACATACCCCTGGGGTCCATGCTACAGGCAAACCCACAGAGCCAGGAGCTCCTCACAACCAGCCTCAGCCACCACCTGGCCATGGATACCTTCAAGCACACGGCTGTCCTCACCCCACACTCTCTGGCACTGGCTCTCGAGGCACACACAGCAGGGAAGACCTCTGTTTCTCTGTTTATCTCCATTCCTGGGGCACGCACTCGAAACACAAATCACAGTGCAGCATGTCGAGCTTGAGGCACCTATTTCCATACTGCAGGTGGGCAATGCAGCTCCTGAGGAGCCCTCTACAGCCTCTGGCTGCATGTCCACACCTGTGAGCATCCTTGGGCATCCTCAGCCATGCAAACTGCAAAGTCCCAGTGGGGACATTCAGCAGGGAGGACACAGTCTCCTCCTTCCAATTTATGGCTGCTCTGGATCTGCCCACTCAGACAGGACAGACATGGCTGATGGCCATCACGGCCCAAGGACTCTGGCAACCTAAAGCAGCAGTGCAGCGAGCAGTGGTGAGACCCCAAGGCGAAAGTGATGGCAGCTCTGATGAGCTGCCTGCAGCAAAGCAATGCCTGCCTAAAGGACACTGTGAACTGCTACCCAAAAGGCTCAGTAAAGAGTAAACATGAGGTGAGAAATGTAGTAACAGCAGGGTCAAGAAGAGAAAAAGATTGTTTCTAGCCTGGTGAAGCACATCCATGGATGCGACCAACGTGTACCTGTAACAGCCTGCGCCTCGCACTGCAAGGACTAGTGCTGCCCAGTGAGTGACACAAATATACAACATCCTTCCCCTTGCGCTTCACATACAGCCAAGCTTTAGGCAGAGCAGGAAGTGACCTGCCACATACTACACCAGGTACTGGAAAGGTAATGATCACCCGCTCTATCCAGTGACTTAACACAGGGAATAGTACTAGTAAACTGTAACTGGGGCTTGGGGTGTGTTTCTCTTACTTTCTTTGTTTTCTAACCTGGATGACTACGGGCTGACAATGGACACACTGGGGAACTGAGCTCTGGTGCAACCTTGCTTACTTCAGCCAAGTGTAACTGGCTGAACCTGATCTCTCATTTCTGTTCAGCCCCACCAAGAAAGCATGGATTTACTGTACCTCTGGGTACCTCCCCATAGCTTGGTGGAATCCCATCTGAAATGAGCAAATCCCGGCTGGGGCAGGACCCTGCCCTCTACCCATGACTCATGCGGTCACTTCCCTTCCCAGTAAAGAAGGTCAGTGCTGGGTGCAAGAAGAGCTTCCCTCACAGTGGGAGGTACCAGAGTCACTGATCCTGGCCCTGTCCCCAGCCATGGACCTGCTGCAGAGCCATGCTGTGAGGGTTGCTGAAGGAGACAGGAGGCTTTCTGGGTTGTGAAAGCTAAAGTACATTCAAATACATTAGCTACATGATGAGAGACTTGTACTGAGGGAGTTCCTGGGGACACCACAGCCCCCTCCTCATGCTCCTGACCCTAACGAGCCAGCTCCATCAAGCCGACACAGGCTTGGACAGCCGGTCTCTGCACTGTGCTTCCCTTGCCAGCCCCAGCTGTCAGCCAAGCCAGCAGCTCTGGCACAAGGAGCCCCTCTCCCCACTGCCTCCTCCACGTGCTGTCTTTGTTCCCACTCGTGTGCTGCTCCTGTTCCCCTGGGAACATGCCCCATGCACCACAGCAGCGCCTAGCAAGAGATGCGGCCAACCTTTGGGGCCCTGTCACAAACCAAAGCACCCCAGGACAAGCAAAACACATCTCTACCCTCTGGTTGCACATGCTTGTTGGTCCAGTGGACATCACAGCAACACATCATGTCCTTGCATCCTTTGATACCCAGCTGAGGTGGCCAAGGCTCCCTGGGAGGCAGTGCTCTCCCTGGGAGTCCAAGCCAAGGACCAAAGCACAGGTGGGTTCACATTCTTTTCCTATTGAGTATAGAAATATTTGGGATCTGTTGCACAAAGAAGAAGCCATCCCTGGTACTGAGGTGTCTACAGGGCTGTCTGTACCTCCAAGGTAGGGTACACAGCACAGCCTCCATTGCTCCTGTCTTTCCCAATTCCCTCCTCAGCTCTCTCACGAATGTGTTGGTTAAACCCATCCAGATCTTGTGTGACTGCATCATTCAGCCTGCGGATAAATGGGGCCTTGCTGGGTATATTCAAAAGGGCTAAAATTAAACACCATGGGACCACAGAAAATTTAAAGAACAAGGCCCTTCCCCAGGTCTGGAGCAAAGCCCAGAAATGATGGGGCTTGTGCTGGGATCCTTTGGGGGGAAGCCCTCTCAAATGTCACAGCCTCCAGCACAAGCTGTCCAGCTCCCTCCCAGCCGGCCCTTCCTCCAGCTGTTCTCTCTGGCCAGGCACAGCCGCCACATCCGCATCTGCACGAACCAGCACAGCCCCAGAGAACAGGCAGAGCCTTCACTTCCTCTCACTGCCAGAAAGCTGCTTAAATGCACAACACAAGGAGGCCGTGGGGCATGTCTGGCGTCCATCTGCTACCTCGCGCCTGGGCTGAGCACAGGAGGATCAGCAAAGCCACTCGTCCACCAGCATAGGAAACCAGCTAGCAAAGCACAACACGATAATGCAAACCAGCCTGCGTTTGGGCACACACATGCAGCACTAACTCCTGCCTTGACCCCCCCGTCCCCCAGCACACAGACAAGGAATCACGGTATCAGATAATATGACACACAAAACTATGCCGCACATCTCCCAGCTGTCCAACACCCCCTCTGCCCTGCTCCCGCAGGGACTGCTCCCCTCCTTTCTGCCCCACCACCTCTCCCTTACCAGCGTTTTCCTGCTCCTCTGCTCCTCAGAGGTCTCATCTTGTGCTGCACACATCTTTTCGGGCACTATCCTCCCCCCTCCCGTCCCTGCTGCTCCCTGGCTCACACAGTGCTATAAATACATCCCTGTACCTTCAGCTTGGCTGGGTGGCTTCGCTGTGCCTGCGTCCGGGGAGAAAGCAGCCGCTCCACTAACCGCTCCTGAATAATGATCGAATCCATGCCCGCGGCCGGCAGGACGGACAGCCACCGGCAGCCAAGGGAAAAAAACCCAACCCATGTGTTCCCTCCCAGCCTTCCCTATATCCATGCGGCAGCCCCCCCGCCTGCGCCTGCACACACACGCCGGGCTGGCTCAGCTCGCCTCGGCGCGGCGGCCCAGCGAGGCCAGGAGCAGAGCAGAGCCGAGGCGAAGCCCGGAGAGGAGAGCGGACTCCCACGGCAGCTGCCCGGGATTTCCTGCCTCCGCCTGTGCTGCGGGAGGAGCCTGCCAGCGAGGACAGGACAAAAGCCACCGGCCGCAGGCCAGAGCCAATGCTTCGGCACGTACCGGATGCTGTCGCAGCCATTAGCCTGACTCCTTCTGTCAGATGGGCCGATGCAGCTGGAGGAGGTCTCGGATGTCCTGATACAGGACAAAGGTTTGCTGCAAAGAAACCTGCTCTCAGCACAAACGTGCTGCTTCCAGCTCCATGGAAGGGTCTGAAGGGTCCAGAAGCTCCAAAAAAACAGAGTCCAAACTGAGTTCCCAGATCCCAGTCTTGGTTGACACGGATCTGCCTCCACATGGCGCTGGGCCATCTGTTGTCTACTCCAGGCTCTATTGCAGCCTCATCTCTAAATCCAATTGGAGTAGCAGGTGATGTGTTCTGAACCTTAGAGCAACCATTTAAGCTTTGAAGGCATTTCAAACTAACTATCTCTGTATTTGTTAAGCATAAGAACGCAGCCCAGCATGCACAGAAAAGTCATTCAAATCACAAGCCTGGGTTCTGAACCTACATGCAAGACCTGCTTTCCACCTTTTCTATGCAGCCACAGAGACTGAACAGGAATTTATTTGGAACACACAACAGCTGATTACTCCATATTATCATATGATTCCAGGACCTGGGGGGTTACTATCACAGCACCTAGAATAAAGCCACATAAGATGACAAGACTGGTGGTGCTGGAGGAACCTGACACTTGCCACACGGGTTCCTGAGCAGCTTTCTGCTCACGGATGAGGAAGGATGCAGATCACAGCCACGCTTCTGCCTCACTTTCAGAGCTCCCCCTGCTTCTCTAGGAAGCACAGGTCTCCAGCAGTGGCTCCACAGAGCAGCTGACCAGCAGGGCCTGTGCTGGTCACCCTTGGGCCACGACCAAGCACCCCAAGCATGGCTGACAGCAGGTTCTGCTATAAGGTACCAAGTTATTGCAAGGTCTCCAATGGCCTGAAGTGTGTTGGGAGCTGCGAGAGTGGAAAAGGCTTAGAAACACACCACATGCTGGAAAAAAAACAACAAAGTAAAACAAAGGAAAAAGAACAGTGTTTTACCAGCACTGCAAGTCGAGGGAAGGGGACCTCAGAACCTGCAGACATAAGGTCATAAAGACTGAGAAAAGCAAATGTAGGAGAACTGGAAAACACTCCCAGGGCAGGAATACTCCTGCCATACAGCAGCTGTCACATTGCATGCAAGCAGCCCTTTTCCAAACCACCCTGCTCTGCCAGCAGCATCCTTTAAATTACACCCACTGGGTTTTGTTCCCAACTGTTTCTGCATGTGACAGCCAACCAGCAGGCCTGGGCTGACAGCCAGGTGGCAGGAATTGCCACCTCTCAGAACATGTCCATGTTTGTCAGCTCTGCCCCTGCTTTGCAGCATTGCTCCATTCCTTAGGGAGCCAATAACCCTACATCAGCCTCCCAGCCCAGTGGCAGGTCAGACCATGCTCATGACACTGTTCTTCTTTTTCCTAGGTGCAAAATACCTAATTCTTGCTTTCCTGACTGGAGGACTCCACTGCTTGGGTCTGCAGCTTGTGCATGGCTGCAGTGGGCAGTAAGAGCAATGGCTTGCGGCACACCAAAGATACATCCAGACTTACTTGAGGTAACAGAGAGGTTTCACCAGACCTTCCATGCCACAAACCACAATGGCTGCAAGCAAACTGCCCTCTCCACACGCGGCCCCCCCCCCCGAATCCACATGGCTTGGTAAACCCTTGTCTGAAGACCACAGGCCACATTGCCACCAACCACGAGCATCTTCCAAGGGCACATGGAAACATGTTGTGACCCCATGAACCCACTATACTAAATCAGAGCATTCTTCTGAGCTGGGATCACAGATGAAGTCAACAACAATTTGGTTGTGACAAAACCACAGTGTTGTTTATGGCCACAGGAGCCATGCTGACAGTGCAGAGAGAACAAGGAGCTCCTCTCAGACTCGGCCTTCTCTGTCTCTCCCAACGATGCTCATCTTAGCTCTCCTCCTACCTAGAGTCACCCAACCAGAAACCCAGGTAGGCCAAGGAGGGGACAGATGTGTCCCTCAGACGCATGCTGCATGGCATCCCAGAGCTGTTGGCTCAGGCTGGTCTGTGTGTGAACTTCTGAAAGACAGCCAAGCCAATCTTATTTTGGTCCTATTCTTTCTAACTGCCCCCTCCAGTTTCCATGCAGCCTCTGGAAAGGCTAAGTGTAAACCCTCCAGCAAGAGAACTGATGTATGATATGCTTATAAAAGGAAAAGTAACACACAGGATACCTCGCGTGTTGTGCAGCACAGCTCAGCAGGGAAATACACATCTTTGCCCTTTCAGGATCTAGAGCAAATCTAAAGGGTTTTCTTCCTTGGGCTTGTGGGCCATGTGCACCTCCAACCTCATCTCCAGGCGGGTGCCAGCTGCAGCAGCTCAGGGGTTAAGCTGGCAGCAGAATCCAAGTTTCTGATTGTCAGAGCCTGGGCCCAATCTGCCTAGGGCTCAGCAAGGGAAATGCAAGCCTTTGGGTGCACCAAACCCATCCCACCTCATGGAGCAGCTCTTCTTTGTCAAACTGTGATAGAAGAGAAAGACAAAAAAGTAATCAACAAGCGCTGTCTGGGTCCTCCATGGTGCTGCCATGTTGAGCACTTGCTCACTAACAACGGGGCCATGGCAGAGCTAAGCCATGCACCCACCGTTCTGCAACATCCCTCTCCTTTAGCTCCTTGAAGCCATCAGCGACAAGCACAGCCACAGGGCTGCTCAGGGCAGGGGCTGCAACACATGTAGGTAGAGCTGTGGCTGTGCGCAAGCAGCACAAAGCAATGTCCTACTTTTCCCTTTATTAGAGAGGATTTCTAGCCTGCAGTATTGAAGATGGTTCTAAGAAGAGGAAAGAAAACACTTTGTGGGTTTAGATGTAAACCCACAGAAGGCAAAATTCACCCCTGGGCTGGAGTGTTAAAATGCTTCCTGAGAGCAGCACATCAGCCTTGTGAGAACAGGGGGGACAAACCCCCATGCTCACTCCACATGCCAGCCCAGGGAATAAAGAACAAGGAGCTGTACTTCAGCAGCAGCACTAATTGAAGGCAGACACAGGGCTGTGCTATTGCACAGTCATTGGAGCTGGAAGCAATACACCCAGTTAAGGAAAACACCCAGTGCTTAGGACCTGGCAGCAGGGATGGGCAGAGATCAGCCACAGGGAGCTCAGCACGGTGGGGAGATGTGGCTGCTAACTTGACATATGAGGACCAAAACCAACACAAGGATGAGCACGGAGAGATCAGCACAGATCAGGGATGGGGCCAGAGGAAATTCTGTCCTTGGCTAAAATTACAACATCCTGGCCAGGCTCTAGCCACAACAACCACAGCCCTCCGTTACCATCAAAGGGGCTTTCACCTCAGCAGCTTCCACACTCACCCTTTGGCATGCCCTTAGCCAAGATGCTCAGCCTCCTGGGATGTCCAGAGGGATACAGGCTGAGTGTCACTGATGCAGCTGAGGCATCCATCAGACAGGGGCATGGACACATCTTTTGGCCTCCGAAATACATTGCCAGTACTGATGGTAATGTGAGCTCACTGTAAGCCCAAGCCACTTGGCTCTTCCACTCTAGTGCTATAAGCAGCAGTATGAATGGAAATTAGATCCAGGTCCAGGTGTGAAAAGCTCTCCCCTCACATCAACCAGGGCATCCGGGGGAAGGGGAGTGAGGTGAAACAGCACAGTGGAGGGAGACAGACCCCAGCCAGCTCAGAGGAGAGGTCACCCACCTGCAGGGAAGCCATTTTCTGGCAGAGATGCTATGTCCCAAAGACTGCAGTGCTCAGGCTCCATCCTTGGTGAACAACCGGAAGTGTGTCATGGAAGGAAAGTCTTTGGCCTGATCCATTCATTCTTGAGGAGCACAGAGTCAGGAAATAGGGTCCCATCAGGGATGCACCCAACCAGCCTGGCCTGCACAGACGACTGGTGAAGCTCTGTGCATCCATGGCTCAGCAGGGTCAGCACCGTCACATAACAGCATTTATGGTCTTTTCCTCTGAAGCATACAAAGCTATTTTCAGAATTCCCTATTGAAGGGATATTTGGTTCCTATCTGTTTTCTACCAGGATGGGAAACACAGTTCCAGTTGCTCAAGTCAGATAGGAGCTGCAGCAGACAGTAAATACACCCCCAGCTTGGACCATGGCAATGGAGGCTGAGGAGCTGCAGGTGTCTTCCTTGTGGATCCCCAGCCGGGACCCTTCATGGCTCAGTTCCCACCTTCTCTTCCTGCTGCTTCCTCTCCCACTCCATGGAAAGTCACTGCTGACTTCAGACAGAGGAATCTCATGGGTATCACAAGGTTTTGACTTTGCTGCTTCATCACCAGTAAAGCTGCACGCTCACCCTCAGGTTCCTGCGGAGCTGACCCAAGGGAAAATGCCTTGCTGATCTGAACTCTGATTATTAGTTTAACCTTGAGCTTACAAGCAAGGCTCTCTGTAAGTGGTTATGGGGAGCACCAAAGCCCTGACACTTTATCCAGGCTTCATCCTTTGATGCCCAGATAAAAGCAAGATACCAGAGCATAAACACAGCAAACCCAAAGCACTGAATTAATCTCCTGTATGTACAGTGCCACAAAGCACAATCGGCAACCAGATCTCCTGGTTTTGCTTTTACCTACCCCACAGGTCAGGCTTTAATTTCCGTTCTAGGATCACTGCTGCTTTGTCACATAATCCCTCCAAAAACCCAGCAAATTCCATTTTAAAGGTATTTGTGCTCCCTGCTTCCACTTGAAGTACCTCATGCTTCCCTCAAGCACTGAGCAACCCACGTGATGCCTCCACTTCCAGCTCTGAAAAAGGACCAAGGACCATAAATTGCCTTTTGCTTTTAAACTCCCTCTGGAGCAAGTTCACGGCTCTTGTCACACCCAGCGCCTCCGCACAGCGTTTAGGAGCATCTGCAAA